AAATTTGTACAATTTAAACTTATACCTCAATCGTTGGAGCAATTCTATAAAGTATTTTAAAATAGGCTATGAACTAAGATCACAAAATTATTTCTGTAAAAATAATATTTTCTGTTGCTGCATGACTTTTCCTCCATGCAGACTGTAGCTGGAATATTTTATGCTTACTGCCCCAAAGAGGAGTTGTCATCATAAAATGGTACTGACTATAAGAGTCAAATTCTTGACTTTGGACTTTCAAAAGTCAGAGTCAGAGTCAAAGCTGGTCGTTATTTGGAAGAAGTGAAAGAATATGCCATCAGTCAGAGTCAAGGTCCAGATCTGAGAGAAAAGACACAGTATGCCATGTCCTCCCCATCCTCTGTCCTCCTCCTAGGGCAGTGTCCCAGAACTAATAAGATTCTAGATTCCAGGAGGATACAGAATGAGAAGAAATGGCCATGTGGTGTGTATCTAGAAAGGACTATAAGAAAGCCTCACAGCTTAGAACTACACACATAAAAAGGTGGAACCCAACAGCTAATTTTCTTTCACTTCAGGTTGGATGACTAGAATATTTCCTGGGTACTTAAGAAGGGAATAGAATTACTTTTAATGAGAAAGTGGAACAAGAAACAAACCTGAGCAATCTGCATGGATGAAGGATAGATGGTTGAGGACCAGAAAAGCCAAAGTATGCCTCAGTAGATGACAACAGAGTACCAGCTGCCTCACTTCTCCAAGCCTCACCCTTGCAGCACAATTTCAAAAAGAGGAAGAGTACCTTTATTCCATATACAGAGAGAAAATTTGTAAGATAATTTAAATACAACTATGAATCATAAAAGAGGTTGTTTGTGCTGAATCCATAGTCTTGAGATTCATACCCAATTCATATACTTTACATTTATCTACTTCATTCGATATTTACCCAACTTTCTATGGCCATAGCTCCTTGTGGTTTCCAATATGGCAACCACTAGCCATATGTGGTTACTGAGCACTTGAAGTGTGGCCAGTATGGATTGAAAATGTGCTATAAGTGGAAAATAGACACCAGATTTTAAAGACTAAGCATAACAAGAATGTAGAATATCATAATATTCATGTTTATATTTATTTCATATTGAAGTGATATTTTGAGCATATTGGATTAAATAAAAATACATTATTAAAAATAATTTCACATAATTCTTATTACTTTCAGAAATTTTGCCTATGAGGCAACTTAAAATTTTGTATGTGGTCTGCATTATTTTTCTATTGGACAATACCTTCTATACTCATCCATGTTGATTTCATTTGCCTTCACCTGAGAAGCCACCATCACTGCTTAATGTTCCATCTGAGAGTAGACATTCAATGACTTTATAATGATGATGCCTAACATTTCTTGACAAGAGTTTATAGGAAATTACATAGAAGATGTCTTGTATCTCATTTTTTGATGATAGAACTTGGGAATCATAGTTTGGAATAATTATTTGGTCTATACTTTGCATAAAAGGAAGAGATATTCTTTATGGGAATTAAGACAAGCTGTGAACACCACTGGTAATTTCTTAAAAATGCTTGCTGATTAAAACATAAATAAAATTTCCATGATCAGAGCAATGAGAAAATATGTAGTGTTGAGTGTTTCGTTTATTAGATTTATTACCTAATTCATGTTATATAATAAGCAGTAACACATTAAATGGGATAATTTGGAGAGATTTTATTTACAAAGTGACTATTTATAAAGGTATAGGGAAACCACACAGACAGTGTGATATCAGAGATAGCAGACACTGAGATTTTGTGCCTAGTTCTGAAGTTGGCTATTTAGAAAATGTCTTAATCTATTTAGGCTGCTACAACAAAACGCCATAGACTGAGTGTTTTATAAAAACCAGAAATCTATTTCTTACAGTGCTAGAAACTTGGAAGTCAAAAATCAAGTTGTCATCATATTCAATGTCTAGTGAGGGTTTGCTTTCTGGTTCATAGATGGTATTTTCTCACCATTTCTTCACACTGTTGAAGGGGTGAGAGGGCCTCTCTTAGGCCTATTATTAGGGCACTAATTCCACTCGTGAGGGCTCTACCCCTATAAACTAGTCATCTCCCAAAGGTTCAACCTTCTACTTCTTTCACTTGAGAATTAGGATTTTCACATATGAACTGGGGGAGAGGAGTGGACAGATATTCAGACCATAGCAGAAAAGAGATATAACCTTCACTTACAGATATAACCAGCCCTAGGGTACTCCCTAAGGATGAAAGCTGAATAATCTGGGAATGAATAATCTGACTTTACTCTCCTCAAATTCTCTAATCTCCTATTAGTGTCCTCCATTAGCCACACTCAAACAGAAACCAGAGGCATGGGAACCTTCTTGAAGGGATACTGATCAGCATCCCAGAGCAGCAGACAGGCAAAGGGTGAGGAGTTTGCCTGTAAGAACAAACAGAGGCCAGGTTTGGTGGCTCAGACTGTAATCCCAGCACTTTGGGAAGCCGAGGCGAGTGAATTGCCTGAGCCCGTGGGTTCAAGACCCATCCGGGCAAATTGGCGAGCCCTCCTCTCTACAATAAATCAAAAACTAGCTGGGCATGGTAGCGCGTGCCTGTAGTTCTGGCTACTTGGAAGGCTGAGGCGGAAGGATTGCTGGAGCCCCAGTAGGTCGAGGCTGCAGTGTCCAGGAACATGCCACTGCACTCCAGTCTGGGCAACAGAGTGAGACTCCAACTCAAAAAAAAAAAACAACCAAAAACCAGAAAATATATGGTACAACATTCATTCTTTTTGGTATATTTTACCATATTGTAGACACATAGGTCTATAATCAGTGCTCTGTTTCTCACATATTGGGAGCTTACCCTGGAAGACCTCATTCCTCCTATGGCTCTGGTTACTACTTGTATGTGATGATAGTTCTACAATCCATAAAAGTGCTGAGATCTCTTTCCTACTCTGTAGATGAACATATTCAACTGTATTCACATCAGTTCCACCTGGTTGACTCATAGGCTTCTCAAACTAGTGTATTCAATAAAATATCACCACTTATTGCATGGTATCCTGACAAAGTTGCAATACCAGTAATCCTGGTTTTATTTAATTTTCTAAAAATAAGCCAGGAAGTTTAGAAAAGACTGCTTTCATTATGATTAGGAGAGGCTTGAAAAAGCTAGAGAAGAGTCATTACAGGGTAAAAGTAGCCTAAGATAAAGGCTATTGGAGTTTTAAGTCTTCCTTTTCTTTTTCAAAACTTTAGTTAGGCATGCATTTTGCTGGGCATTGTGGCTAGAAAAGCAATACACAAAGTTTCGATTGAATGGGGAAGATAGGTAAATACATTACAATAAAATTTAAAAAGATATATTTGCATGCAAGGTTCAAAGTACATTAGAGAAATTAGATATAAACAATTTATTCACTTGTTTTATTCACTCAAAAAACCTTTCCTGAGCACCCACCACACTATGATAGAAGCTAGAAAAATGAAAAGGGAAAAGATACCGTCCTTGTCCTGAAGAAACTCACAGCCTAATGACGACGCTTTTGGGGTGGTAGTCAGGTAGCAAGAATGAAGCTACAAGTGCCTGAAGGATTCACACAGTCTGGAGTGTTCAGATAACTCCAACTGCATAATTTAGTGTTGCTTGAGCAAAAAGTTAAGGCTTTAGGTTGGCAACAGGAAAGGATGCCAGAGAGGAGTGCAGTGGGCAGGTCTAACCAGCCTTGGGCATTTTTCTGTGACAACCCCAATTGTTGCCAGTGGAATGGCAAGAGGATACACATTTTCCTGCTGTATCAGTTTTATTTAAAATAATCTGGAGGACAAAATGGCATCTTTACTACAAAAATACCGACATATTATGAAGTTGAATGCAGTAGCACATGGGTCAGGAAAATACGACAGAAAATGAATTTCCACAGCTGGCTTATGAATTAGCCCGATAGGACAGGAAATTCCAAAGAAATTCCACAGCTGGATAGGCAAATACCTTTGGCTCTCACTCCTGAAGACTCTGGGACAGCAGTACACCACCCTCAGCTCTCAGAGGACTGAGGGCAAGAGAGCTGGGAGCAATGAGCATTAAGTGTGTGAGAGAAGTGTTTTAAGAGGTAAGCACATAATGAATATTTGTTTACATAATCCTGAATTGTACCCTGTATCTTAAAATTTTTTAAAAAATTTAATTTTAAAAAAGAGTTAAGAAATTGACCTTCCATATGACCCAGCAATTCCCCTATTGGGCATATACCGGAGGAACTCAAATCATTCTACAAAAAAGATACCTACACACGTGTTTGTTGCAGCTCTTTTCACAATAGCAAGGGAAGCAACCATTTTGCCCATTGAAGCTGGACTGGATTTTTAAAAATGCCGTACATATACACAATGGACTATTATGCAGCCATAAAGAAGGACAAATATATGGACTTCGCAGCCACTTGGATGGATTTGGAATTGATCATACTCAGTGATCTATCACAGTAACAGAGTACCATATGTTCTCACTCATAAGCAAATATTGAATAATTATAATACTATAAGAAAGGGATTGGCAATAGTGGGATACTGCCAGGGGAGAGGGGGTGGCATTGGCAGTTGAGGGAAACTTCTAGGGGAGGGAGGGGCACACCTCATCAACAAGGGTACCTGCATAATCAACGTTTGTATACTTAACACTGAATTGTACCCCACATCTTTATAATAAACACATTTTTTTTTAAGAGTTAAACACAAGGGCTGGAGGGAGGCTGGGGCGCAGGTAGCTAGGGCCTGGTCATCTCTCTCCTCTCCTCCCTGGACCCCTCCTTGGGAAAAGATCCGCCACCAGGTGCCCCCGTGTAACCTGTAGAGAGCGCCCGCAGCTTGCCACTTGCCCTTTGAACCCCGGCGCCCCATTGCCAGCGCGACTCTCTCCGCCGGCGCCTGGCGGCCTCCTGCGATTGGCTTAGAGGACGCAGCGCGCGCGGACGTCACTGCTCAGCGCCTCCAGCTCAGGGCGACAGCCGCGCGCAGCCTCGCTTTCCGCACTTCGGCTGCCCGTGGCGGGAGCGGCGGCAACTGGCTGACCCGGCACGGAGCAGGAGCCCCACTGGGGCGGGAGAGAGGCGTGGTAGGAACTGGCCCCCGGAGCCGTGGACCGCAGGTGCAGGAATCCCGTCCGATCTCTCTCCGCCCAGCAGGCTTCCTTGTTCCTGGGCTGTTGCTAGGGCCGCTGGACCTCGTTGCTAAGGCCCCTGGAGATCCTGAGCTTCGGGAGTGCCCCCGCTTCTTTCCTGGGGTCGGGCTGTGGTCGAGTATAGCCTTCGTTGTCCTTAATTGAAACCGGCTACCTCCTGCACAACCCCCTCCCCCTTTTTTTAGCCTCTGTGTTTTCTATTTCTTCTTCATTTTCCAACTTTGACAACCCCTGGCCCTGGAAATGGGGGGTGGGTGGGGGCGGAGGGGAGGCTGGGAAGATGGACAGCGGATTCTAAGATCCTTGATACGGGCCCTTTGGGTTTACTTTCAGCGGCTATTGGACTCTGACTCGATCCTTTGGATTTTGAAGGAGCTTTAGAAATGGAACACGGCTTCTTTAGGGGGACTTCGGTTACACTTTTGGAACTTCCTAGACACTGGATTAGAGGATAGGAAAAAACGTGGCCTCTGCTCCCTGAGAGTCGAGCAAACTGTTTAGCTCAGTGATCTCAAAAGCTGGATGCAGGAGGAAGAAAGTACCTATAGGGAAAGAAATAGGATAGATGATTTGACTAAACAGTGATAGAAAGTCTGCTTTCCTAGCATTGCGATAGATGATGGTAGCCCCTTGTAGATAGATACCTGCAGCACCTAAGGAAACCTAAGGGAAAAGTATGGGTGACCCCGCTTGTTTGTTTGGTCTCTGATATTGTGACATAGTTTAGGTGTTCCAGGTTAAGTAGATCTAAGGATTAGTGTCTGGTTAAAATCTTTACATTGTTTTTTCAGAGGATGACCTTGATAATATTCACAACACAGAATAGTTCTTACCACTTCACCCCATCACTATGCCTTCACATTATTTTCCACATATTTAATGAAAAATCACTCAAAAGAATTGTTATGGGTAAGATGAATTAAGCATTGTATTTCAAAGACAACTCATGCTCCGTGCTTGTTGTTAGTGGTATGCCCTCAGGTGGATACTATTTTTGAAAATTGAGCAATTTGCAGTCATCCCTTGAATCCAGGGAGGGTTGGTTTCTGGCTCTCCTTATCCTCAGTTGGTTGAATCTATGGAAACCTAGGGCTGCCCTTAAGGTAAAGAATGATAATTTTAACAAATGAAAATGGAATTGTTTTGGAAAGAAACGCTCTAATATAGGATGTCTTGAAAGTGAACATAGAAGTGTTTGCATTATTGTGCTTGTGTTTGTTGTTGAAAATTATGCAAGTAAAATTACGCACATAAAAGTTGTCCTGTATACTGAAAAGCTCAATTTTCTAGCATATTTTAAAAGTTTTCAAGTGAGTTTCAGTGACTTTTTGAGCTTATTCAAAATACAATGCAACACCTTCCCATGAATATGTTACAGGGACAACTTTTTTACACAAAGGAAGATAGAAATTTAGCTGTAGAAGTCCATAAAAAACTAAAGGCATAGAGTGAGAAGTGTGCTAATAGAAGAATAGCCAGAGTGTCAAAGAACTAAGAAGGACACAGCGTAAAATTTGGAGTGCATGGAAGTGTACATTTGAGAAACTGAGAAGATCATGAAAGGCTGCATGGAAGTTGGGAGATAGGCCTAGAAACACTAGCAGGCATCTGGGTAGATGAGAGAGAGAGAGAGAGAGAGAATTATTTGCTAGAGATACAAGTTTAGAAATTGGTTGGATTAAGCCGGAAATCTTGAGATATGAACTAGAGCCTTCTCAGTAGTAGATAAGAGGAAACTGCAAGAGGAAAAAGTGAACCCACATTAACTGGGTGAGCAACTTGATATATCATTTTATTTACTTTTCCAGAACAGCCTTTATCTCCCCCTTTTAATAGGTCAGGAAGTTGAGGTTTAGGGAGATTAAATAATTTGCCTAAATTCATAAACTTTATGATTGGTAAAACTGAGATGTAAACCAAATCTGAGCCCTGAGCTCTTTCTACTTGAACACATGTTCATCACATCTATAGAGTTGAGTGTAGGAAATGAAGGAAAAGGAGCAATGATGATCCTGTTTTTCAGTCTGAGAACCAGAAAACTGGTGGTGCCTTGAATTAACAAGGGGTTTATAACTTCAATGTGACAACCTCTGTTTTAGTTATGTTCAATTTAAAGTACTTATGGTACGTTGAGTAGGACGCTTGATTATCTCACTGGAAAAGTAGAACTTGATATGCATGTATTAACATTTGGAGATTTGGAAATACAGAGGCCAGAGGGAGATGGAGAAGACAGGGAATATGCCAACCACCCCTTTGAGAAATCGAGTCTGTATTTTCAGATGTGGTCAGAGGTTCTCAACCGAGTTTCTTACACTGTGTCTTGATAATCACAGTGTAAGAAAAAAAAAAGGTTTATTTTTATACATCTTGGTTTTTTGCATATGATTTTTATTTTGCTGTTAGTTTTCTTCAACACATTTACCCATTTCACACTGGATAATTTATGAGCACACTTGCCCAGTTGATATAATTCTGTTTCTTCTCTTTAGTCTTTTCAGGTATTTTGCTCTATGCCATAACTTTTTAATGTTTATTTTTCTGTATTTTGTACTGTGTTCCGTTTTAGTCTTCATATTGATAATGAATCTCCCTCCAAACAAATTTTGAAATCAAGTTTTTGTTTTTGTTTTTGTTTTTTAACTGCAGGAGTAAAAGGGAAGCAATGCAGAAAACAGAGTGCTCTGGAGGTACACAGTTGAGAAACAGAGTCACAGGTACAGAGGTTTGCTTTTTAAGTGAAGAGGCTGAGTTTATTTATGAAATTCTGTGTTTCAGATGGGTGCCGGGTCAACTTTATTGCATTTACCTTTTTTGTTAATGTTCTGTTTTATCCAGGTAACTATGATCGAAGGACATTGTCAAGCACACAGATAAAGCATAGGACTACAGTTCAGCAAAGCAAATCCTCATCGTCAACCTGTTCTCCAGAGTCTGTAAGAAAACTTCATCCTCGACCAAGTGATAAACTTAACCCCAGAACAATTAACCCAGTAAGTCCAAAAGGGTTCCTAATTCAGTAGATTTTAGGCACTTAGCAGCTTATTGAACCATTCTGAATGCTTTCTTGAGTTTCGTCCCTTTGCTAGTTTTGTGAGTGTGTGTGTGTCCCTCGTATAGTTGCGTAATGTTCTTTGATTATTCCTCTGTGTTTCCCTCTATGTTAGCTCCATCAGAAATCCTTACTATAGTACTAACCTCCTTTGACCCTCTCACCATTTAATCAGATTTAATAAGCTGAGGTTTATGCATACATTTTATTATGTAGATCAATGAATTATCTAGAGGTGACTACCTGTGAAACAACACCAGGTGTTGTCTGGCCTATGCCCCAACCTTAGTAGAGTAGATGATGTGGTTTTACCCTTTGAAGGAGATTGTGAGAGTGGCTGAGAATCTTGACTGACTTGGATGGCAGGTAAAATATGGCAGATGTTTTGGCAAGAGTACAGTGAAATATCCAAGGGCAGAGGGAAAGGATCTGACTTTAAAAAAGAATAATGAAAAATAATTTGAGCATATATACTTCTTTGTTTCTTTCTATAAGCTACACAGTGTCAAGGAAATGGAATATGTGAAGAAGGCCCTGATACCTTCCTTCTGTTGCTTGCCTATTTTTAGTTGAGAGAGATTATGGTGACACTTCTATTTCCTTCATCTCTTTAAATAAAAACTTATTGAATTAATAATAGTTTAGTCTTAAATTTTAGTAAAATTTGAGAAAAATTTGGGGAAATAATTTAATGATTTTACCTGAGAAAGGCATGTCCAAGGTATGTAAAGGCTACCAATCTAAAATGAGTTGGATGTCAGGATATTGGTTGCCTTTGAAGTACAAGACAGGTAGTGATTATGAAGAGTACTGTGTGCTGAACACTTTCAGATTTTTTATCTCACTGTTCATATACAACGTTAGTGTGTGTGTTCATTTTTGTGAATTTACTATCTTATGACATATGTACTTGAAAGTGTATAAATTTCAGAATCAACAATTTTTTAAAAATGCTAATTCAGTGTAGTGCTGTATTTAACATTAATTATTGCAGAGTTAGTCTGTGATGATATTATATAAAATTGAATGGGACAGCCTGGGCACAGTGACTCAAGCCTGTAATCCCTGCACTTTGGGAGGCCAAGGTGAGGGTATTGCCTGAGCCCATGGGTTCAAGAACAGCCTAGGCATCTCTGCGAGACCTCATCTCTGCAATAAATCAGAAAATTAGCTGGAGTTGGTAGTACAAGCTTGTAGTTCTGGCTACTTAGAAGGCTAAGGCAGAAGGATTGCCTAAGCCCAGCAGGTCAACGTTGGGGTGACTGTGACCGTGCCACTACACTCCAGCCTAGGCGACGGAGTGAGACTCCAAACAAGCAAAAAAATTGAACGGGACAATAATTTTTTCATATTTAAAAGAATGTTGGTAAAGTTTGGTTAAAATTGTTATAAAATTTTTGAATCTGTGAGACCTAGAAGATGAAATTATAATTATATACTGAACAAAACAGAAAAGCAAGGAAAGGAATTACTTAGAATTTAATCCAGAAATTTTGTCTGACAATATTTTGAAAATTTAGGGATTATTTTCATGATCTATAGCAAAAGTAAGATCATTCACTGGTGATTGGTAAACTAAAATCTGCTGATAGTATAACACTAATTTGTCTTTTTTACCAATAAATTAGCATTTTTAATTTTTTTTTCTAATTTTCATTTTAAAGATGTGGGGTACAATTCAGGGTTAGGTATACAAATGGTCATTATATAGGTAAAGTTTGGGCCTCACTTTCATCCCCACTTCACTGGTTTGAGATCAGGTACCCTTATTGATGAAGTGCTCTCCCAATGGCAGTTTCCCACTACTGCCAATCCCTTTCTTATAATATGATAATTGTTCAGGGTCTGCTTATGAGTGAGAACATGAGATACTCAGTTCTTTGTTTCTGTGATAGATCACTGAGTATTATAGACTCTAAGTCCATCCAGGTTGCTGAGGAGTTCAAAATCGTGTCCTTCTTTATGATTGCATAATATTCCATTGTGTATATGTACTGCATTTTTTTTTACTCAGTCCACGTTCGATGGGCAGCATGGTTGGTTCCATGTTTTTGTTATTGTGAGTATTGCTGCAATAAACATGCGTGTGCAGTTATCTTTTTTAGAGTGATTTGAGTTCCTCCAGGTGTATTCCCAGAATGGGGATTGATGGGTTGTATAGAAGGTAGATTTTTAGGAATTGCCACGCTGTTTTCCACAGAGGTTATACTAGTTTACAATTCCACCAACAGGTAGAAGTGTTCCCTTTTTTTCCATATCCTCTCCATCATCTGTTGTTTTTTGAGTTAGTGATGATGGCCATAGGTGCTACCTCAGTGTGGTTTTAATTTGAATTTCTCTGATGCTTAGTGAGGCTGAGCAGTTTTTCATGTATCTGTTGGCTGCTTGTATGTCTTCTTTTGAGACGTGTCTATTCATAACCTTTGTCTGCTTTTTAATAGGGCTGTTTGTTTTTTTCTTTTCAGCACGTTTGAGTTCCTTGTTGATCCTAGTTGTTAGACCTTTGTCAGATATACAGTTGGCAAATATTTTTTCCCATTCTGTGGTCTGTCTCCCCACTCTCTTGATTTCTTTTCAGTTTGATGAGGTCCCACCTGTCCATCCGATCTGTTATGGCATGAGCATTTGGGGTTTTGATCAAGAATTGGTTGCCAGTTCCAATTTCCATAAGGGTGTCTCCTGCATTTTCTAAAGTTCTTATAGTTTGAGGCTTTACATTTAGGTCTTTGATCCACTTAGAGTTGATTTTTGTGTATGGTGATAGGTAGGGGTCTTGTTTTAATCTTTTGCATATGGTCAGTTAGTTTTCTCAGCACCATTTAATTAGCAATTTTCAAAATAACTTTCTTGTCTGGTATGATTATTAGTTGAAAGCAAGTTTAAAAACTTATATTTCTTTCTTAGCAGAAATTATAAATGAACGAAACAATTCTGTTGTGGTGAATTGATACACAGAACGTGGATTGAGCTTTGTAAATAAATTTTTATTATAGTTTTATTTTAATGAATTTTCAGTGATCTGCTTTTACTCAAAACAAGTTTTTCTAGAGAAAAAAAGCTAATTCTAAATTATACTCTATATTTTCAATCTATTGCATGTGGTTTTTAAAAAAGCTAGATATATCTTTAAAATAGGTTAGTAAATTTGTTTTTTTTTGTTTGTTTGTTTGTTTGTTTGTTTTTTGAGTTGGAGTCTCACTTGGTCGCCCAGACTGGAGTACAGTGGCCGCTCCCGGCCACCGCAGCCTCGACTCGCTGGGCTCTGGTGATCCTTCCGCCTCAGCCTTCCGAGTAGCCAGAATTACAGGCGTGTGCTACCATGCCCGGCTGATTGTTTGATTTATTGTAGAGATGAGGTCTCGCAGGCGGGTCTCGAACCCGCGGGCTCAGGCAATCTACTCACCTCAGCCTCCCAAAGGCGCGGGATTACAGGCTGAGCCACCGAGCCCGGCTGTAAATTTGTTTTTTAATTTAGACAACTATGTTTCATTTCATTTGATTATGTTCAAAGTACCATGTGATAAAACATTTACTTTTTGTGCCTAAATTCTCAAGTCTTTGATCAATTATACTGAAATTATTTATGCTGTGATTGTTGAACTATTGTGAGTGGCCATATCTTAAGTTCATCTTCAAGAGTAAGTATAGTATTAATGTATACTAAAGATAATATATAGCAAAACTGAAAGGTTGTGAAGTCATATAACCTAAGAAGACACATCCAGACATATACTTGTGAGAATCTTGCTCTGTCTTCGACTTTCTCAGTCTTGCCGATGTAATCCTTTGCATTTTATGGATGCTTAAAGCCAATTTGGAAAAACTATACAAGTTCTGTGACTACTCATGCCATTCAGAATCGGTGGAGGATAAGTAAGAGATGTGCTGGAGGTAGAAAACAAATACATTTTCTGTGTATTTAACATCTCTTCTCTATTTAGTCCTCACCTTGAAAAGTTACAGTAGGGAAGAGGGTAGAAAGATCTATCAATTCATATACGGCTTCAGCTACCTTCAAGCCTTGTGAAGCCAGTAGGGGTAAAAGGAGACATACAAAGTGAGGTTTTGGTATTACTAGTTCTGAGAAAATTGACCATTTTTCAGTCATGTTGCTGAGTGGGAATGATGCGTTTGATACCAGCATAGATGCTTGAAAGCCAGGGTAGCTGTTTGCCTCTGACCACAGAAGGAGATAGTAATTTTTCACTTTTTATTTCAGTTTGGTGAACAGTCACGAGCCCCTTCTGCATTTGCAGCTATTTACTCCAAAGGAGGTATTCCTTGCAGGTAAAATCAATACAATTTATAACTGACTATATTATTTTTAAAAACTGAGTAAAATCATTACAGTATTCAGTTTACATGTATTGAAAGTTTTATTTACTAGGTTGAAATAAAGGTGACTTTTCATATTGGCTGTTGGATTGGTATAGATTGCTGGACATTGTTGAAGAAAGCCATTTTAATTCCAAAATACAATTACTGAGATCTATGATAAACCACCAAATAATTTAAGAAATTGAATGAACCATTTTTTTAAAACAACCAATTTAGGCATTCATAGACTTGGGCAAGTTGCAAATTAAAATACCCTATCTTGTTGGTAAAATGAAAATTGTCAATTTAATTAAATTGTTTATATTTCTAATAAGTACATATGACTGTTTTTGCTTTCTTTTGGATATAATTCTTGCTGTCTTTCTAGATAGATGTCAGAACTATTTTAAATAAAATATAGATTACTAATAATGTGATGTTATTTTAAGATTTATTATTAAGAAGTATTTATTTCTTCAGAGTATATTCAACTTTAACCTGTTCTGGGTGATAAAAAATTTTATTTTCACTGTGGACACAAGAATCCTGACACTTATTTGTTTAGTTTTGTTCCAAAATTCAATAAATGTATTTTTTAATTATATTTTCAGACCTAGAGTGAAAAACTAATCTCAAGAAATATTATTCCATTTATTGTTATTATTCATATTTAGATTCTGAATTGAAGCCTTGTTTTAAAGTTAACTCTCCCCTGCGCCCAGCAATTTGCTGTTGCAAAAATGTAAAAACAGTGTTACAGATACCTCTTGCTCTTAATGAAAATAAGCCTTAAAAAGGAATCAAGAAGTTAAGACCATTACAAAGGAGCTCAAAGAAACATTTAGGTTGATGAATAAGTTCACAGTCATGATTGTGATAATAGTTCCTTGAGTTATATTTGTATGTTTATTCATGTAGTTTGTTGCATATCAGTTATGTTTCAATAAAGGTTGAAAGAGAAGACACAGAAGAGACCCTAATTCAGGAACTACCACTTTGTAGCCCTGAATGGGCCCTTTCACCTTCCTGGCCTCAGTCTTCTTCTCTTTTAACTGGGGTAAAACCTAGGTTGCTTTCACATTATTTGTGTTATGGTTAAATGATCTTTATCTGAAAAACAATGTTCCCTATAAAACATTTTTTTCTAATTATTACATTTTGTTTGTTTATATTTTTAGTTTTCTGGAGGTTACCTACAGTATATAACCTGGAACATTTGCATTAAGATTCACAGATAGCAACAAGCTTAAGCAACAAAACTGTAATCTTAGCAAATGTAGGGTTACTAAACAGTTTTGCTGAGTGAGTAGAAATTTGTAGGATTGTTGACACTGCTTTGTAAAATATCCTTGTAATATCTTTTAAAGTTCTGGTGTTTCTACATATTACAAAGTAATTCTAATATGGTTGTACTCTTGAAGAGTATGGTATGTTAGTCCATCACTGGTTAATATATATTTTCCTTGTTACCTTCACTGACTTTTATATTTCAGATTGGTACATGGTTCAGTAAAACACAGATTACAGTGGGACTGTCCTCCTGAAAATCTTTCATTTGATCCTCTTCTTATTACTTTAGCTGAGGTAAATAGTCTCTCTACTGAATATTTATGGAAAAAAATATTTTTAAATTGCAGTAAATTTTTGTGGCAGTAAATCTCATTTTGTACTTTTGAAAAATAGATACTGAAATACCGTACCACCTTAGGAACAAATTATGATCGATATATGTTTATTAGAAATTGATTAATTAGCTTTATAAACATGGACTTAGTCTACAAAGGGATTTGTAGGTAGGTGGATGAACTATTTATTCTTGATTCAATAAAACAAAAATGCATTAAATTATATTGAGGAGGAAGATTTTTTGCACTAATGAAATTAGGAAAACATCAGAGATTAAAACTTAAAACTATGTCAGATAACAAGTGGTTATTCTACTTCCATACAACCAATCATATAACATGATGTGCTTCTTAGGGAATTGATGCAAATTACCTTTTGGAGAAATCTCCAGCTATATGCTCTCCTTGTACATTCTCAGTACAATGCCATGGCGGAAATGGTTTATAGAAGAGTAAAAAAAAAAAAACTCTTGATAAGTTCTTTTATATAATTTAACGTTTGTGTCAGAAAAACAGCAGTATCTTAGCTTTAAGTGAATCATTGCTGTCTTCTATGAATTTTGTTCCCAGAGTTAGAATCAGAAGTTGAGAAGTGAATTAACCTGTTGTCTCATATTTAAACTTCTAGTTACTTGCCTTTTTTAAGAGTTAAAGATTATTTTGATGTTATTGTTAAGAAACTAATGATTATAATTTTAATGATATCAATCAAAATAGGCAATACCTTATTTATAGAATAAGCCACACAATAGTAAGTAATCTAAGTAAAAACATGACAGTGAAATAGTGCAGGTGTTTTCTTAAAAGGTACTGCTTGCCTTTCCTATAAAACCTGCAGAGAAGGCCAAGTGGGAGCAGAGCAGAAAAAAGTAGATAATTTTGCCAGTTGAGGTTCCTTAATTATAATGAAACCTCAAAATTTCTAGTTCCTCCATTAGTTTTCCAAATGTATTTTATCTCGTATTTGTACTTAATCAGTTGCTAGGAGAAACTGCCAAATTGTTTTAATAGGTTTTTTCTTTTCTTAATTTATAGCCCAATTTGCAGAATTATTTCAGTATTATAAGCAGTATTTTTATATGTGGCTTATTTAGAAATTTTGTTTTGAAGTTGATATTAAAGTTACAAATCTTAGTTATGTTTCTTTAGTTCTTTTTTAAACTTTAAACCTTTTATACATGGTAGTAAACCATTTTTCAGACTAATCAAAACTAGTGGTAGCTTTGAAAGCATGCTATAGCTAATCACAGGGTATAGGAAGTCCTTTAACCCTTTGGACTTGGAGACATCTTACAGATCACCTACAGCAACTCAACCACACTTTCTTAACGAAATAGTGAAAAACTAATTACTTCATATTAAATAGTACAGCTTTGGAACCAAGTATTTTATTGTAATGATATTTAGCTTATAATGGAATTTTGGACATTGAGGAACTTATTTATGACAAAAAACTTGAAATTTTGTATCTTATGTTGTTCTAACATGTAGTATAATAGTGGAGCAGTCACCGACATGCATTGAACATTCATTGCACAGACAATGCAGTCTCCTTTTCTTCCTTCCACATTAATAATAAGTGATTTATTGTCCAGTCTTTGCACCACTGTGAAACCACTTCAGACATTCTCTTTCTATATAACGCCAGCCAATATTTTTTTTTTTTTTTTTTTGAGTTGGAGTCTCACTCTGTCACCCAGACTGGAGTGCAGTGGCCGCTTCTGGCCACCGCAGCCTCGACCTGCTGGGCTCTGGCGATCTTCCACCTCAGCCTTCCAAGTAGCTGGAACTGCAGGCATGCGCAGCTGGAACTACAGGCACGGGCTACCACGCCCAGCTAATTTTTTTTTTATTTATTGTAGAGATGAGGTCTCCCCAAGTTGCCCAGGTGGGTCTTGAACCTGTGGGCTCAGGCAATTCACTCACCTCGGCCTCCCAAAGCGCAGGATTACAGGCTGAGCCAGCAGCCTGGCCCAGCCAATATTTTTTTATGTATTTCTCAGTATATATTCTATCTCTTTATGTACTTTTTTGTGCAATCTGAATGGAAAACTTTAAGGAAACATTTTTGAAAAATTTTCACTGGCATAAGTTTGTCTTGTATAATCACCAGCAATCTCTTTATATCCCCTGAGAAGGGAACATTAGAGTGGTTTGCTAGATGTATGATATTCTCTCAGAGGGGATATCTGAGTACAAAGGGGTAACTTGGACTCTAACTTTAGACCACAGAAAGTCAGCACTTATATACCTGTTGTCCAGACACCAATACTTGTATTTCTGTAGTGAGCAGATTTTTAACTTTCTCCTCTACTCATTTACTAATGAGAAAGAACGACTATTGAAATCCACTTCAGCTTTTGATCTGAGATTCTTCACCTCTAAAATGAACGGGATACAGGATACTCCTAGATGACAAAACAAATTCAAAATTATGCCCATATGCTAGGGAGCATAGTTTTCAAAAGCATGACAACATCAAGTAAAGTAAATGTTTAGTCAGTATTTGGAAGCAGATAGTTAGGTCTATAGGACAAATTAGTTGAAAATTCGTATTTTGAAGCATGACTTAGCAGTGGGTTATATTTATTCACCTCACGGATTGTCAAACTGAAGAAGTATGTTACTGGTTTTTGTTCTGCTTTGTTTTGTCTTGAAAAAAGTCTGATGGCCCCTGACTGGTTAAATAATAAAAGAGTGCTAATTGTTTCTAATGCATTTGCGGTGAGAGGCATAGTGAGAAATGCACTACACAAATTTTTAAAAAATATACTTTTATTTTGTATTCCAGGGTTAAAAATAACATTTAAAATCTTACAGTGCTTTTTGTACATAGTATAATATTTACTTTCTAAATATCTGTCTATATTTAAGTGCAAAGGAAATTTTGGAAACTCATTAAACAAGTCGCAAAATTGCTCTGAAGGTAAGGGATCCAATAGTTATGCAGTCATAAGGCAGTGGTTATGAACATACATTTTATACTCATTTGCTGTGCTTTCAGACAGCATTTTTAAAGTGTAGACAAAATATTTTTAACATTCTAGTAGGTTTTTTCCCTTCTTTTTTTCTATACTTTTCTTTTTTTTCCTCTCTTCTTTCCCGGCTTTTTTCTTCCTTCCTACTTTCTTTCCTCTTTCTTCTTAATTCTCTATATTTTTCCTTTCCTTTTTCCTATCCTTTCATTTTTCCTTTTCTTACTATATTTCTTTTTATTTTCTTTCTGCGGGTAAAGATTCCTCCTGTCACATATACAGTCAGCTCTCTCTATCCATGGTTTCCACATCTATGGATTCAACCAACTGCAGATCAAAACTGTGTTAAAAAAGAAAAAAAGAGAGAGAGAAAATGACAATATAATAATTAAAAATTCAAATAAAATTATAGTATAACAACTATTCATAAAGTCTTTATATTATATTAGGTATTACAAATAGTCAAGTGATGATTTACGGTATATGGGAATATGTGTGTGGATTATATGCAGATACTGTGCCACTCACTTTATATAACAGCTTTCATGGATTTTGATACCTATGTGGGTTCTGGAACCAGGCTCTCTCAGATACTAAGGGTTAACTGTATGTCCCTTTTCCCACCGTTTATCAGTGTGATTGAAATTGTAATTGCTGAAATTATATGTCATGGTTGGGAGAATAATAATAATTAAATTTTTGTCTTTTGCTTAAGCTAGTAAGGATTCAGTTTTTTTGTTATTAACATGACAGAATAGATAGTAAATCATGTTTCTTTTTGGTCTGTGGCAGGGTCTGAGAGAGACTAAACATCCATACACCTTTGTGTCAAAGGAGGGTTTCAGAGAATTGCTTTTGGTTAATGGTGCTCCTGAAAAGGCTGTTCCTTTGCTCCCTAGACTGATTCCTGTGGTAAAAGCAACTCTGGTATGTCATTTATTTCATTGTAGTTTCTATTTCAAAACACATGATAGAAAAGAAAGCCGGAATATATTTAGAGTATTTTATGCCTTTTTTCCCTCCAAATTATGTGCAAATTAGTCCTTTATTTGTGATTTTGAGGTATGTGCAGAATTAGGCCACTATTATTTAGGGCCAGATGATTACCTACTTGAATACACTTTTACAGGAAATACTGAAGGTAAAAGGGACATTTTGAGCAATTAGTGAAAGTAATGAACCTCAAATCAGTCCTTCTGTATGCTAAATATATTTTAGTTAATGCTTCAGTAAGGTAGGTCAAACATTTGATTTTCATTTCTAAATGTCCTACATTGAAGGTTATGTTTTAATTCTGGGTGTTGTTGATTGTCTTCTTATTTTAAAGATTTAATATTACTTTTCTGTCCACCTGCTTGCCCTTTTTTCTAATCCGACTTTCTTTCCTTTTCTCCTCTTTTCCCTGATACTTCTACATCCCCAAATAACTGACCTTACAGGTCCATTCAGATGATGAAGTATTTGAAAGAGGATTGAATGCCTTGGTTCAGTTAAGTGTTGTTGTTGGTCCTTATCTAAATGACCATTTGAAACATCTGCTTACAAGTGTGAGTACTACAAAGATTACAGAGTGATTGTGTATAAAGTATCGTGTACTGTCTGTCTCTCTTCAGGATTTAATGGCTTCAAATTAATCTTTAAAGGGGTGTGTCATACAGGCATGACTGCCTGCCTTTGTGATTGACATTAGTCTACAGCCTCTCTAGAAGTCAAGCTGATACTCTGGTCTAAGGTTCCTACCATAAATTAAGTTATTAAGTTGTTAGTGTATGCAATCTGGTGTGGCCCAAAGCCACCAGAATAAAAGAGATGATACTCTTATCTGGCAGGACAGTCCAAGATCTTAGAAGTTATCTTCCCAGGAGCTAGGGGCAAGGGCTAACCTTTTTTTAGGCAAAGGTTATTCTTTCCTATAATGAACACTGATATAAAGTCCTGTCTAGGTCATCCACAGCTAGGATCTCTCTGTCTACATTCTTCTGTAGTTCAGAGCCATGTCTATTGATCGTGTTTACACTGTTTTTCCTTAGACCCATATGCGAGATCCTACAATTCTATTTTTAACTTCCTACTTTGCAAGTAGTGTAATACACCTCAGGAACCACCTAGCTATGCCTGTAGAAAGTAGGATGGTGGTGACTCTATCACAATAGCTATGCTGAGCTTAGGAAAGGTGGTGCTGAATCCCACGAGGAGTCTGGTGGGGAGAAGACATAGTGAGAATAGACTCTTGAGCCTTGACATGTGAGAAGTCTTAGCATGGAAGACAGAGAATCCTGGCAGATGTTGACTTTTTAAGCTTCATGTTGGGGGTTGTGACTGACCAACTACAAGAATTTACAGTCATATATAGAGTGACTCATTTTCAGATTGAATGATTCATTCAAACATTCAACTGTTGAACATAAATCTGTTGCAGTCTCCTTCCCTTTCTGTACCAGGTATTATACTAAACACTGAGCACTGCGAATATAACACTAATGCTAATGATGAGCAGAAGCAGACACACTCTCAACCCCTGTGGAGATTTTTTTTTCTTGGTAGAGGAGAAATAAGTAGCAAGGACATCTGAGAACACTGGATGGAGTGAGGGGGACATGATATATAAAGAACAGGAATCACATGGATTCTTCCCCAAACTTGAAGTCAAGTGAGGACCACAATCCTCTCTTTCTGAACAGCCTCTTAGTCACACCCACCATGGCAGAGAGAAAAGGCCAGATTAAAGAACTAAACTACATATTTTTTTCCTTTCTGAGTCAGTGGCATTAATCTTTGGTCCCTGGCATATTTTCTCAGAGGTCTGCTTTTCCTAAGACAGGGACTGAGAAAGGACCTCTAACCATCCTGGACTGTCAGCACTTTGGGAGGACCTAGACCCCACCCTGGCCCTCAGATCTTAGTGGTGTTACATCGAGAAGAGACCTTAGAAATAGGCCCTGTGTGTTTGCGCCTGGTCTGTTAGCACAAGCATCCCTGAGGATGCCAGTGCGGTGCTCTAGGGCCTCCTGCTTACCTCACTTACCTCCGTCTGCCACAACTGTCGGCCCGAAAGTTCCATTTTCATCTGTTTTATATACTGCTACATTTCATGTTTATTAGAAGAAAGAGTTCTTTTGGGAAAAGAGTTATAATTTAGTCACTGAGCTTATATGCGACTTATTTTTATTCTATGCAAAATAAATCATACTCCGAGCTGCAGTTGCATGAGACTTTAAAGAGGGAATAAATCACTTGGAAATCTTGCTAAACATGCAGAGTCTGAGTCTCTGCCTTGAGATTCTGGTTAAGTATTGGGTGGGACCCAAGAATCTGCACTTTTAAACCAGTATCAGGTGATTCTCATGACAGTAGTTCATAGATCTGCCTAGAAAGGGGTATGTTCAGACTATATACTATACAGGGTGTATACAGACTGTATAGGGTAATACAGTCTAAAGAAAGCAAACTGAAGGACTGTAAAGAGACTTTTTATTGTCTGTCCCCAGGGCATTCATAGGTTCTACAAGTCTCTTCCTTTTGAGCTGCTTGTCTTAGATTTTTAAAAAACTCTTTCTCGGAGTCTCTTCTGTCCTGCCTAATCTTCAGTGATTGTCTGTGCGCCCCACTACTCAATGCTTAATGGTATGAAGTCCTCCTACTAGACTAAGGACCAGAAACCAATTTTATATGACAGGAATCTTATCAGTGTTTGATAGTGACCAATTACTGCCTAGCTTTATTTGTATTTCCAGAAAGTGGTCTCATGATCAAGCATTGCTGTAGGCTGACATGTTTATGTCTTTGGGTATGGCATTGCACATATTTGGTGGGAACATCATTTGTTACAAGTTGTGCTTGATTACCTGAAGTGTACCATTTCTCTTATCCTCAATCACTTTGTGCTGTCTTCAAAATTCCACTTTTCCAAGGTTTTTAGTTTAATTCCTCTACCTGTCTCTCATATCAAATTATTCTTATAAATGCTATGTTTTATCATCTCTTTCCTATTTATTTAGGTAAATATGTTTTAGAGAAAGCTTTCTATCATAGTTCTCAAAATGCTCTTGTAAGTTACAAAATGGAAGTGTGTTATTTTATACAAAACTTACTCTAGATATCATTGTAGCAGATTTTGTAGGATTGGTATTACCTGAAATAATACAAATATAGTGAAATAATAAAAAAATATAGTGATGTCTATTATTTTTAGATTTCAGTGAAATGTTTCCTAAAAGAAGCCCTGAACTCTAAAACAAATTAAGGGGTGGTCTTAATTTACTTGAAAATGTAACAGTAGTGAACATTGTTACTTTGTCAAATCATTTCATTTTTGCCCCAATCTTATTTTAAAAGCTTTCCAAGAGACTAATGGACAAGAAATTTAAAGAGCCAATCACCAGTGCATTACAAAAGCTTGAGCAACATGGTGGAAGTGTAAGTTGAACGTTATTCCTTAAGTAATGATTTTTTTTTACTTTTAGTCATGTTACCAAGTTGACTATATATTTAATATGTACTATCTCATTTCAACTTCCAGTAACTGTTTCAAATTGATATTGTTATTTTCTTTGTAGAGCTCAGAGTTACACCATTTTTAAGCACTGGGACTCAAACCCAAGTGATATAAATACAGTGCTTGTACATTTTCACAGTGTTTACTATATGGAACTACATGTGGTACATATTACAGTTTTTTCATTTAAAGTATTTTAGATGTTTTTGTTTTGGCTGTTGGAAAATGCATAAAATCAAAGGATTAACTTAGAGAGCTCATTGAAGAAAGATGCTTTTTTTCCCTTTCACTTGCCATCTTTTTTGCTTCAAAATTTAAATCTATCCCATCATCAAATATTGAAATGACACAGCCACACGAATGCACTATTATGTCTGTGATTGCGTGTATACTTTCACACCTGTGTGTACACATGTATACATACATACATACTCCAGAATTTTTTAATGAATCATTCTAAATCTTCAAGATACAAGAATGTGGGGAATTTCATTACTGTATAGTGTTGATAAAATTACTAGGTTGATTTAATTTTCTCATTTGAAAGAAGTATTCAAATAATCTAGTCTTAAAAATATTTCCATGTAGCAGTCTTGTTTTTGAAGATTATGTTTAATCAGATATTAATGATAGAATAGAGGCCAGACATGGTGGTTTACACCTATAATCCCAGCACTTTGGGAAGCTGAGATGAGAGGATTGCTTGAACCCAGAAGTATGAGACCAGCCTTGGCAACATAGTAAGACCTCACCTCTAAAGAAAAATCAGTAAATAAAATAAAATAGGAAAACAAAATTAATGAAAGAATTGCATGCCATTATCTTTAACACTATAGAACTTAGTTTCATTCTAAGTACTTTCTAAAATAATTATAAGAAAAACTGATTGTATACAGTATTAAGATAGCAGACATTTTAGCTAAAGTTTTGCCTATTCTACATATTTGACCAATTTCAATAACCATATTGACCATATTCTTTCCATGCTGAATACCTAGGATAAAGTTTGTAAGAGGAGTGAAGTAGGTCCCAAATTCTATTAGATAGTGAATTTCCCTGTTGTGTTTGGCTCCTAGGCAAAGTATTGATTATATCATGTTGAGGAGATAAGCAAAACTATCCTCTGGCTAAACCTCTGTAGCCTCTCAGCAGAAAGGAAATTCTTGCTTGCAAATATGCTTTCTGAGAATTTGATTGCAATTTGTCCTCTCTTCCTCTGTGAAATGGAAACATATGCTAAACAATGATGGCACAGCTTTTCAATCTGAAACTCTCCCTAGGTGGTTTTCCATATCCTGTGGACCAGAATGAGGAATGAGACAAATAGAAAGGAACAAGTCCAGTATGTTAGATTTCACAGGAGGCTGGAATAGTTTGCATGTCAAAAAGTTCAGAAGTCTCCCATCCAAGTACTAACCAGGCCCGACCCTGCTTAGTAGCTGGGCTCGGTGGCTCAGCCTGTAATCCTGCTCTTTGGGAGGCTGAGGTGAGTGGAATGCCTGAGCCCGCGGGTTCGAGACCTCATCTCTACAATAAGTCAAAAAATTAGCCGGGCGTGGTAGCACGTGCCTGTAGTTCCAACTGTTTTGAAGGCTGAGGCGGAAGGATCGCCAGAGCCCAGCAGGTTGAGGCTGCGGTGGCCCGGAGC